CAGCTAAATGTATACTCCAATTTTCAGCCAACAGACTACGTAGATGGGCAGTAATATTGTCAAATTACAATTATCAAATTGAATATGTGAAATCGGAGCATAATATAAAGCCGATTTTTTATCATGTTTACCTATTGAAAGTCAAAATGAGAGTCAAAATAAAGAAACATTTGAAATACATTTTTTAAATGATGTGTTTTATGTGTTTAGGGCTGCGTTAAATATTTCGCTTTTCAAAAAGGTAGCGTCGCCAAAAAAGTTTGAGAAACACTGCTCTATAATAATATGGGATCTATCCATTTAATTTACATTCTGCATTTTTGACATATAAAGTAATATATTTTGTAATCGCAGCAAGTGTCAAAACGATCTACTTTATGCAACCAGTTGTATAAAGTAGAACATTATGCAACTGATTACGAAAAGTTGATTATGTCACCAGTTACGAAATGAAAATAAATAAAACTGCCTCTTTTTTGGTTTTTAAGATGAAAAATCGAAAAATCGTGAAATCGAGAAATCGAAAAATCGAGTAATCTAAAAATCGAAAAATCCAAATATCCAAAAAACGAAAAATCGAAAAAACCAAATATCGAAAAAAAGGCAATGAACAGTGACATTTCACATTTGAAAATATGACATTACATTTAACAACAAAAAGAAAACAAAAAAAAAAGCTGTAAATTGCGTTTAATTTTTAAAATAACACCGTTATTCAAAACGACCCAGAAATGTTGGGGGTAGAATTTTGACGTACTCCTAAGGATAAAGGGTAAAAATGTTTTTTTTCAAATTTTTCGCTGGTAATGTCAAAAATTAGATCGGCAACACTGCACATGTCCCTTATTTTTATTATTACTATTGAAAAAAAAAAAACGTCGTTGGGCAATTAAATACAACAATTTTCTAAAATATTTGATTGGAAGTACCTACAGAAGAATTATGGTGAGTCATTTTTCAACACAATTTTATAAATAGTCAAGTCAAAATTAGAAAAAATCTTGTATGTAAATACGTTACGAAATGCCATTTTGTGTAACTCATTCATTTTTCGGGACCTCGCTCTGCTCGTTCCACAAATATTTACTCGTTACAAAAAATAAGGCATTTCGTAACTGGTTACATAAATAACTATTAATTGACTTCCTAATATTTTAATTCATTGAACGGTATTTTCGGTAAATATTTAAATCATAAATAATTACCGGCATATAAGTACCAAAACATTTTTTTCTCTTCGAAGAGTAGGCCTGTCAAATAAACTTAAAATATTATAACGAACGAAAAGGTAACCCATTTCTAATAAATTAATTATTTATTTTATTTTGGTGTGATCGTTCAAAAAATCTTGTGTGTAATTCGAGCAAAAAGTACTTTGGCTGTTTCGATAACTTATTGTCTCAACAGCTATTTTGTTGCAATAATTTTATAAACTTTTATTTAGGGTCGATTTCACCGTTTTGTTAAACGAAGTTTAAAATACTAAACTAAGATTAAAATGACATTTTATATTAACAAAAACGAAGTTTAAATTACCAAATGGAGTTTAAAATGACATTTTTACATTAACAATGTCATTTTAATCTTCGTTTAATAATTTAAACTTCGTTTGAAACAACGGTGGAATCGGCCCTTAGCTAGTTATATATTGATAAGTGTTATTGCCCTCATCATACATGAATCGTTCTAACAAATAAAGTCAAAAAAACGTCTCATAATTTTTCATCTTTTAGTTACCCACCAAAATTAGGTACTACAATACAAATATTTAAGTCCGGCCCAGAACGTCTCCCTACTCCTTCCACCCAGTTTTTCGGTTTTGGCAAAATTTGCGCAGCGACAAATGCTTCCTATGTTACCTCTACCCTTTCTAACCTCTTTGGGGATTATACGATTAATTTCGATAATATAAAATATGAATTTATACAAAGCGTGACAATATCTCGAAAATATCTAGAAAATATTGTCACGTTATACATGTTCTTAAATAAAATGTAACGTGTTATATAATAATTATGGGACTATCTATGTCCCGGGGGTTAAGCAACGAAATATATCACTCTGGGCCTGAAAATAACGCAAGAACTCTATTGCCTTAAACTTGGTATCCTAACCCTTAACTGTATAAGGGTTCTACTTTTGATGTAAGAACCTAACACGTCGCTGAAAAAGAGCTGAAGAAAACACAATGTTAATAATAATAATAATAATAATAATAAACGTCTTTATTATACCAGCAAAACAACATTTACAAAGTATAAATGGCGTAGTCTAACCAAATGGCCATTCAACTTAACCATATCACAAATCCTAAAACTAAGTTAAACCTAACCTACTCTACATTACGCTGAATGTCTACGGATGAATTCAAATTTAAATTAAGAACAAGAATTAAATAAAACAAATAAAATAAATAAAATAGAATATGAATTAAATATTTTCATTTGCTTGGCTACCAAGAAAATATGATTTTAACATTATTTTAAATGAACTAGTACTCAAATATGATTTTAAGTGTGTATTTAGTTAATTGTATACTTTAGCGACATTATAGCTAAATGACCGTTAAAACATGGCAGTTCTATGTCGTGGCATCATGGCGATTTCGCAAATTTAAGGCATGTGCGTCAATCCTATACGTAATCCGTTCTCTTAAATATAATGGTGAATTAGCTTTTAATAAATTGCTTAAAAATAATAAGAAAAGAAATTTGAACAAAGAATCCATTTTCAACCATTTTAATGAAATAATGTAAGGTGATATGTGGTCATATTTTCTTTTGTTACAAACAAGCCGACAACACGAATTTTGTATTTTTTGTAAACGGTTTGCAGTAGCCCTGTCGAGACAAGGATAGTATACAGAGATGCAGTATGTTATTTTAGAGATTACCAAGCTTTCACATAGGGTTTTTTTCATGTTAAATGTTAAATATTGTTTACTTGCATATAAGAGTCTTAGACGAAAATAACAATTTTTTGACACTTGAGAAACATGTTCTGAAAACAAATATAATATAATTAAAACAATTATACAAAATATGTCATAACTCGACATACAAAAATATAAGGCTTAAGAGTTATTACTCTGGACGCTTGAATTTCGTTTCAGGAGTAATTTGCAGTAGGTATTGTTAAGTGTACAGTATGTATTTATTATTTATTGGTATTTATTAGGGTGGTCGTTAAAAATTAAATTCTTTCGGACGCCCAAAAAAATCCTTCCTTTTGAGGATAAACTACAGGAAAAAGAACACGTGCCGGGGGCCAATTGAAGTTCAATTTTCGATAAAATTATAGTTTTCTGAAATATTTATCACAATATTTCAATTTGGACAAAAAATCATCAAAACAGGCGTATAGGAAATTAAATTCTCTACAAAAGGGATTCTTTCGGTTTTAAATAAAGTTCATATCCATCGAGATAATATCATTAGTACAGTTCATCAAATTTCTAGAGGTGTTCGATGCCCAAACAGAGAACGCGCTACGTGTGACTAAGATAGCTATTGTACAGTCTGCTAAACAAGTTATTTTAAATAGTTTTTAATATTTTTAGATAATTAAATTTTAAAAGTGTGGAATAGTTTAGGGATTAAATTGGTCTGATTGGACTTTCTTAGAACGTTTTTAAAAGCAGCTAAAGATAGTATGTAGAATTGAAAATAATTATTATGTCATAAAAGGTGTTTTGGAATTCCTTCAACCTTTTGAAATTGAGTCAGAAAATATAAATTTTATAGGATAGCGGAAAATACCTATAATTTTTTTGTAGGCCTTTGTAAATCGTGGAAACAGTTTATATTTTATTTCTACCTTATTAAGGAAAATGGTACCTATTATTAATAACGGTTGTTTCTGAAACATTACTAAAATTTTCGAAATTTTGTTTTTCTACAAAATAATAAACTATACTATTTAGAAAAAAATGTATTTCTCTTATAATTTTATAAAAAATAACAGGGGAATATTTACATTTCTTGATCTATTAAACAAAACGATAAATTATCTCGACGAATGACACCATGTTCTAGTACGGAAGCTAGCTTTACATTTTTGTTGGTGGTTTCATGGGTTTCATATCAATTTTTTGTAATTGTAGTTTACACGTACATATACCTCTTAACACTTGTTTGCTTTATTAAAAAAGTGTGTTGTTGTGATTTACGTCGAAATAAGTCAAAAACAACTTGAAACCCCATATAAAATCAAAAAGCAGAAACGGAAAAAAATTGAGCCTGTAAATGAACACAACTCTGAAACAAAAATAGCTATCTAATAATAAAAAAATAAAATTTGATTCTTGTGCAGCTTCATCTATATCATTAACTGTTTTTGGTTTTTTAATGGTTTTTCTTGGTGATGAAAATTCCGATATCTCACGGTTATCGATTCTTTTCTTCTCTCCAGAAATGCGGATGACAGTGTTTTTAGATATTCCTGTGGCTGCAGCAACACGATCATTTACATTCTTAAATGGTATTGAAGGTGAATTAAAGTTTCCTTCTCTTCTCATAAACTCTATAACATTGGCTATTATTTCGCGAAATTGACTGTTAATCACGCGGCCTCTTAATTTGCTATTAAACTCCATACTTAGGTTCTATTAAACTGTAATGAGCAAAAAACGCAAACGAAAATAAAAGAAATGTTTTAGCGAAATTTACATCTGACATTTACGTCTGAATGAAATAGTGAAATACTTGATGCGCAGAGTGTACTTTCATTGCGTAAATCCGTCGGGATGCCTGTCAGTAGTGCTTTCTCTGTCTAGCCGTCGAAAGCCTCTAGAAATTTGATGAACTGTAAACTTATAAACTCTATTGAGTCAGTTATTTTAGCACTAAAAACTTTATTTTTTCTGAAATATGAACAATTTTGTAAATTCTATATACACTTATTCATTAATGTAGGTCTAGTTAATGACTACCAAGTTATATTTGATATTCATTCATTTTCAAAACGAAAAAGTACAAGTTTATATCTCATAGACTGATTTATCAATTCCACGGTTTGAGTAAGCTTTCTTTTGTATTTTTTATGTTTCGAACTCTGTAATCATCCAAAATTTGAATAATAAACTGCTTCTGATCTTCATCTTTCGTAAACAAATCATTGTATTCTTGCATTAATTTCACACCGCGCTCAGCAACATCGTTCACAACTGGTAAATTATTTACAGCGTTTAAACAGACCTGGTAATTTATATTTTCTTGCCAGTTCTCACAATCATCTTTCAACCAACTTGTACCCAAACCCAATTTAAGAAAGAAACTAATTGAAGAGGGATTAACGAACTGTTCTAATCCGTGGTCAAATAAATTTGGTACATCTTTTTCAGCTACTACAAATTTTTTTGAATTATAGATTTGACTGTCATCTGAGGAATCAAGTTTGTTATTAGAAGTATCGAATAATTTTTGAAACACTGTCATCGAATAATACCATTAAAAAGTTTTCTGGAGCGAGATACCATAAATGATTCAAAATTTTTTTCAAAGCAGCAGAGTATAGTTTTTTGTCAATTGATTGGAAGTTGTAAATCGATTGTATCAATTGAAAATCACAAACCAACTACGAATTCACTAATCCCGTATTCTTGCAAAGCATCAAAAACTGCATCGGCCATTATACGACCGGTGGAATTTTCGAGTTTAGGTATCGATAGTATTTTAGTTTCTTTTTCTGTAGAAATTATGATGGGAAGACGCTCTACAAAGCTTCTACCAGTAATGTCAGGTAAATGTTTGCCGTCCCAGTGAATAATTAATTTACTGAGATCTCTATTTCTAAATCTATGCTGAATTTCCGCAGCTCTTTTTTCCCGAAACTTTTCACGCTTCTGTTTTATTGAAGTTCTATTAACAATGTATTGGCTAGCATCGAAATCAGCAGCTTCAAGAAAACTTATCAAAAGACCAGTCGCATTACGATCGCTGATTTTACATTTATCCAACATTGTGCATAATTTTTGAGTGAAAATATCGATTGTTCCACGAGATTTTTTCGATGGTGGTGATTCATCTAATTCCAATACAAAATTGGGATCTCTCTGAAGGCTTTGTTGACTAAAAGAGCTTGTGTCTGTTGACTCAATTTGCGAACTAGGTTCAGAACTTTCTAAAGGAAAAATAAAAGAAAAAATTGTTATTCAGAAAAAAGTTTTGAAAATCCAAAAGTGCACGACTCATAATGGACGTTTCATTGTAAAAAAAAAAATAAAATAAAAAATAATTAAAAAATTAATAATAACCTATAATAAATTTTTCGATCGCAGAACATCCTCAAATGCTTCGCATTATGAGTCGTGCAATATAAACCATAGAACCCAGAAATTGTTTCAATATTTACCAGAAATTGGATCTTCAATCTCATCGATAAATCCAACACGACAAGGCTTACGTTGATTTAATAAAATTTTTTTAATCTTATCATCAATCATAGTCAAAGCATCATGATGAGCAATGTCGAATAAGTTCTGGAGATTTGATGAAAAACCTTCCTCTTTATTTATTTGGGTAATTCCTCTTATTGAAGAGCTTTTTTGTAAGCTGCGCCATTCATTATATAACCGGTCAATTTTTGCAATGCATCGAGATTTTTGCTGGATTGGTATTTTCACTCTTTGCCAAAAAGTAATCAATCGATCATAAACTAATTGCTTACTATCCTGTAAATTATGCTTCAATACTCGAATATTATGAAATAAAAATTGTAAAACTTGTAAGTTGGATGGTAATGGATTTCCATCAATCTGAGAATTAGTATCCCCAATTAAAAATATATTTTCTGTTTCGTCTTGCATTGCCATGTTAATTTTAAAAAGAGATCAATACTTGTTTAACAGATTTTATTAAACTATAAGGAAGATCAAATTAATTAAAAAAAAATTTAAGATTAAATGACTAATTTTCGTAAAAGAGGATCAGTGGATTGTAATCTAATTCTCGAGATTTACTTCGATTTATAACCTAACCTCACAAATGCAAATGAGCGAAACACTATAGCAATTACGTTTCACACTGTTTGTTTTTTTTTGCGGTTGATACAATCAAATATTTCAATGACTCAAATAATAAACTAAATTTGGAGCACAGAAATAACAAACATGTAAACACATTATAATCAATAATGTCAAAAGTACAGTTATAACAAATTAAACTAAACAATGTGTTTACTGTAAATAGATTTGTAGAAGTGTCGATAATTTAGGAAATTATCGATATCGATATTATTATAGATTAATCGTAGATAACATACCGATAGAGGTTTCATTTGAAAATCATCAAATTGAAAATCAATTACCCATGTCAAAATATCAATAAAATATCTGAAATTCAAGATATTTTGAGAGAATTGTTCATATAACAGAAAAAATAAAGTTTTTAGAGCTAAAATAACTGACTCAATAAAGTTTGGAAGTTTACTAATGAGATTATCTCGATGGATATGAACTTTATCTAAAACCGAAAGAATCCCTTTTGTGATAATTTAATTTCCTATACGCCTATTTATTATTATTATTATTATTATTATTATTATTATTTTTTGAATGGAGGTATATTATTTATGTATGGACCAGAGCCCATTTCTTTTAATACGAGTATTCTGTTTTCTGTGGAGTGGCTGTGGCTGCGGCTTTCTCTTTCTGCAGTGTTGGTGCTTGCAGTTTATTTTCTGCAAATTCAACTGCTGCAAGTTCAATTGCATTTTCACTATGTTCATTTTTTCTTTTTTCATCTCATTAGGATCCTCGTAATCAAAAACTATTTCAGTTTCCTCGATATCTTTATTTCCACTTATTAATTGCGGATGTATTAATTCTAGGATTTTCTCAACTGTGGATTTGCTCCGGTACCACATATCTGTTGATTATGCTGAGCTTTTCTTTTTTTAGTTTTGGATCTTATATCTTGCCAAGTCTAAAAAGAAGCATGATGATGAGATTTTTCTTACATTATCTAAAGCAAAAAAACTGACTTATCTTCTTCCAATGTTTCCAATCTTTTTGGCTTCCAGGGACAGCGTTTATCGTGGCTGCAATTTTTTGCCACTTATTTTCAGAATCTTTGTATGAAAATTTCTGGTTAAACTTTCCGGATATTAAGTCTTCATTTTCTTTTAACTTCAGTAGTTCAACTAATAATTCTTTTTGTTTTCTGGAACAATAACTTTTCTTTTCCATTTGCGAATTTATTACTATTGCATCAGCTCCTAGCCTCAGACCTATTTGTAGAAGCAATTTATAATTTCATACAACTGACAACTGGTAAAACTAAAAATCAAAAATAGTCTTTTTTTACATTTTCTTCTTATATACTCGTCTTGTATGTTCCTCTCCAATGTTGTTAGATGTTACCATTCGCCAAATATGTCACCGATTTGAAAATGTCGATTTGTCTTTGAGAATACGGATAATGTCAGTCGATCGACATTTTGATAGACATTAGTAGTAGACATTATGACGAATGCGACATTTTTAATAGACATTCGAAAATAGGGCCCCCGGTCCCACTTTTCGATTACACATGTCGTATCCCTACGTTGCCAGATCAATGGGGTATATTTAGAATCAGCGACTTAAAATTAGTAAACATCATGTGACATAAGTCATTCATCAGTCAGAAAGTGTAATTTTGTTGGCCAGTGTTATCAATCGTTCAGAATTATTTTTGGGCCAATTTACTAAAATTTGTGGAGGAAACCATTGATTTATAGCTATTATTGTATTAAAAAAAATAATATTTTACTAAATGAATTAATAATAATAATTACTTTTATTATCAATATTCTTCTAGGAGCACCAAATGCCAGACTTGGTAAACATCAGCTAAAGATTGAAAATGGCGTTGATGCTAAAATCGAAGATTATCCATACGTAGTTTCCGTTCAAGTGTGTTTCTGGAACGGCTGCGAACACCAGTGCGGTGGTGTAATCATCAATGAAAACTGGGTATTGACAGCCGTTCGTTGTGTTGAAGAACGTCCTACGATTGCTGTTGGAGCTACTGACTTACAGGCAAACGGCACAGTTCTTGTTGAAGCTGAAACAGCAATCGTTCATCCTGACTACAAAGAAGGGTAAGTTCTTCTAATTAACTTGCTATTCAAGATTCAAGTTTGACTAAATTAATTTGGAAAAAAATGACTAACCATTAATGTTTTGTACGTTTCTTCAAAGGTTTTTGATATTTTTATTGATTCGGAAAATATGTAGAATCAATATTACGGAATAATCATTCTTTTTCCATTTTCATAATATTTTAAGCCTTTAAGAGTTCTTGTCGAAGATGACATCAAATACGTGATTTCCACGTTCTACCATTTCATTTGACGATTTTAAAATAACGTTTGAATGACAGATTTATTATTAGCATGTCGTACCACATTAGGCGATTTTAAATCAGATACTATGTCTTGAATATGATTGACTACACTGATATAAATCAAAAACAATGACGTCATATTGAATATTGTCTTGAAATAGTCAAGTTTAACATGACTACAGTAAAAACGTGGTTATCACAGGTATGAAATGTCAAATGAAATGACAAATGTAAAACTTTTACTTTTTAATTATTAAATCATTGTTTGGTTGTGTTATTTGTAAAATAGAAAGAAAGATTTACGAAAGGGAAAAGTGGGACAATGGTGACGATAGGGTATCAGGTTAAAAAAACAGGTATTTTTATAAAATAAGCTCCTTTTTTTGTAGAGATCTAAAAAAGGTCCCTAGCTTATATTTATTTAAACCATCAGATTCCTTTTTCTGAGCTTCTCAAAAACAGGTCAAACATTGTCAAAAATATCATTATATATAACTTTGAATTTAAAAAACGTAACAAGGTAATGTTACGTTTTAAATAATAAACGTTTTATAAAGACAAAATGTTACGTTTCAAAGATATATTATTAAAACATATTTTGCACCACGTTAAATTTCTAACCCTTTACCTGGGTCTCATTGTAAAAATCCTTATAATAAGAATTCTTACAAGCCTCAGGCCTAGCTCAGATCAAAATAGGTCAGTGGGATTCGTTTAGAATTTACCTTCAAGTCAATGACAAAGTCTTTAATTAAAAAGACTTAAAAGAATTCAATGAAATTAATTTTGGGCGCCATACTTTTAGATGTAAAATAAAAGCAAATTTGTCATCAACTTGTCGGTTGAAAGTAAAAAAAAAGGACTAAAATTTCAAAACAATTAATCGGCTTTAATTTAAATTTTGAATTTGACTGATTACATAATAAAAAAAGAAAATTAAATTAATTGATTTTAACACATTTTTCAGATTACGTTTTACCAATAAGTTTAAAATAAAAATTGACTAGTGACTCAAAAATTGTGTGTGTGGTCCTGGCCGACACTTATCTTGTGTTTCCGGATTTAACGGTCGAACTGGTCTGGTCCCTGTCTTAATGGTAGGTGAGCGG